AAATCCATGTAATTGAGTGGGTGTGGTACACGTATAATACATGTTACTAGTTTTCTTGATGCATGAGTTGTTAAAGTTACTTCAGTTAAAGATTTTCTCAAGAACCAAATAGCCAAATGTGATCTCACAATTCTTAACGGAGATCAATCTCTATGGGAGTATGTTGCCCTGTAGTTTAAGTAAAGCTCAACCTGAAGGACACCAATGCTATCGTGCAGCATTAGGGCAACTTGTGGATCGATTCACAAACATTTTCGAACAACAAAAAAATCCTAAATTCATAATTGGAGTTATTTGTGGGAATAGGCAAGTTGAACTTCAGTGACGAAACCCAAGAGGTCTGGCAAAAATTGTGACTGTGCTACAAGAAAAGCCTGCCTATAGATCTAAGAATAAGGTAATTCTTTGCCATTCTTCACCTGTACATCTATTCTTTGATAATAGGAAAGTGTACGAGAATCTTTTGTACACGAAATGGTTTACCATCTGCCCTTTAAAGCTGCTATAGTTAATCTTCTATAAATGCGCCTTCTCCATAAGTGCGCCATGTGTCCTGGTTCCAAATATAGTTGTTTGCCATAATCGTTTTTGGAGGAAAAGTGATTATGGCAATAATTACGGATTCTCGATATTCTTTATATGATTAACTATACATTTATATTCAAATAATTATCGAGATAATTTTGGCAATTAATAAAATTAATTATGGCAACTATGAACTAATTATGGCATTACAGATACAGCAATGACCAATTATTAAGAAGGGCAATTATGACGAAACAATCAGTCTCTATTTTAAATGCGCACACGTTCCGGTCACGCGACAATGTTTTAATATAATAATAAAATTTAATAATTCCCGTGTTACATAATAATGACAACATTTAATACTTTTTAGAGAATTATTAGAATGACAGAATAACAGAATAAGAATATATATGATAAAACTTTGTATTTTATAGTTGGAATTATTATAGACAACAGATAAAATTAAGGATTTTTAATGACTAAAATCTAATTACATTTCAAAATTATTCGGTAATTATACCAAACAAAATGTCAGTAAAACAACTTTATCTAAACCCAAAAATATTAATCTGCTTATTTGCAGAAAATTGACCAGAAAAGAATATGTTCATGAATCAACAACAATAACCAGTATTTTACAAAAATAAAAAATACCAGGCACCAAATCACCCAATCTAGAAGCAAAAAGACATAAACTTGTGACTTGAGTTGGCCCCTAAAAGACTATTTTTGTTTTTTTATTAGAATTTTGTACGGAAAACACCTGAAAAACATGGAAAGTGTACAGAGCTTTGCCTGAAAAGAGCAATTTTCCATACCTTTGTTGTATGGAAAATGGTACAAAATTTACTATTACGGAAAAATGTTCATTTTATTATTATTATTATTGTGACTTTCCGTGTGTTTTCCGTATGTTTTCCCGTATTAGTATTAGTGTTAGTGTTAGTAATATTATGAATATAATTGGTATTCTAACATTCACTGAAAATGTATTATTATGGAAAATTGCATTAGCATGGAATCTATACTTTCTGTAAATTCCGTACATTCTTCATACAAAAATGTAAAAAGTACTCTTCAGGTAAAATTTTGGGTGTTTTCCGTGAAGTAAAAATAGAAAAAGTACAATTCTTCCAAATTTATTTTTCATAGGGCAAGGGCTGCACTCACGGGGGTCGATTGTACTACTGTTGTTGCCAAAGAATATAACATACTTGTCCCAAAAGTCATTTGCTTCGGAACATTGTCAAGCAATGAAGAGAATATGGTCGTTCAAGTTTAAATGTTTTAGTGGTTCCCTTGCATATTAACAGCATTACTTCGATTTGCAACCAAACCATACGGCATGCATCTTGAAGCCAAAAGGCATGGTAAAGATGCAATTCTCGGTGCTTTTAAAGATATTTCGTTTGTAGACCGTTGGTACTTTCATTAAAAAGCGACCCTGTACTAGAAATTGGCACTGCCTAAAAATTCTTTAACCAGTTAACTTTACTGTGAAAATCTTCCAGTTAACCAGTTACCATTAATTTTATTATCATATTAGTTAAAACCATCAATTCTCGCTATAATAATAAAGGAAGGATCTTTCTATATCTATAACAGGCTCAGAATTTAAGTGACCCATATATAAGTTATTATCCTGTATAACCGACATTTTTCCCAAGACAAATGGTCCGTCATCATATTAATATATTAATACTGATAAATAAAAAATATTTGCATTGCAAGCAAAGAATTAATTTTATTAATATATTATGTATAAAAGGTTATGTGCAGAGACAGCCACCAATGCCACTGAACAACAGTAAAATAACTAAAAAATTAAATAATTCTGTTAACGCCACCAACTCCAAATGCCATTGAACAATAACGAACAAATATTATGTCGCCTCCAATGAAGCCGGACAAGAAAAAACCAAAAGACAAAAAGAGATTGTGTGACAAGTTTAGTGATTGAAAAAGTATTTATATTTAGAGAAATAAAATTTATAATTATATTACATTTTTGAATAATAGAAAGAAATATATATATATATATATATATATATATATATAAATATCATCTACAAACAATTCAATAAATATTACCCAGAGTAGCATCTTGACTGTTTGGCCAGCCAAGAGAAAGACCACGCGAACAAAGTTTTTAATAACTTTAATATGAAATGGTCATATGATTATATAATAGACCAAAACGGTCAAAGCAGCTAATGCATTATTATTGTGTAAGATAGGTAATAGGTAATGGATTTATTAATGTCGTGTGACATTGAACAGTTTAAATTGACCGGTTAAAACGATTAAACGGGTGACGGTGTCAATATTATTATTAATATCCTGTGCATATACAATTGAAGATGACTCTTGTTCTTCAAACCTAAACAAATAAGAACATCTGGACACTAAGAATCAGATACTCGATCAACAATGACACAAATGAATGGCTTGTATTTTTGAGAAACTTTGTAATCTTATTTTTACTAATTTACAACTTGGAGGTAAATATTAACCAGGGGGTCATTGAAACGCTTGCTCTCTAACAGTGCAGACAAAATCTAACCATAAAACATATTATTCGGTGATATAATTAGATATATACACTATCGTGACGAAATATATAATACATGCATGATTTGCAAACAAAGAACTCACATTTTTGCTTACTAATAATAATCATTTCTATTTATAATTAATAATGGTCAGTTGTTATTAGTATGATGAGTACAAAGATAACATTGACTTAGTGATTTGAGGTTTCAAATCAAAATCATCTTTGAATATATTTTTTTATAAAAAAAACATTCATTATTAAAAAATAGTTTGATTCTATTTTTATACTACTCGAACTAAAAATATACCATGACTGGTCAAAACAAAAAAGGTCATAATTTATTTACAAAATAAAAACCTACAAAATGATATTATAATTGTTCTGTTGAATATGAAAAACATTCCATTCCTTGAAAATAGGTTGTAATTGTGCATCGGTGAATGTGATGATCGTAAGAGTCATAGTATAATATGTGAGTTTTACGCAATATCATCCATCTCATTGCACATTAATTAGTGAAGATATTGATACATTGAATAATAATAACAATAACAACGACAACAACAACAATAATAATAGAATAGTAGTACCAGTGAACCATTGGAGGAAAATAATAACAGTAGTACACAAGCTGTTTGTCCAAGCAACCAACATGTCAAATTTATAAACTGGTTTAATAATAACAAGATGTTATAAACATCACAATTGTACAAAAATCATTACTTAAAGAGGGGTTAGTACCAAATCTTGCCGTATAAGCAAGTGTTTATTTGACAATACCAGCAAGTTTTCATCGTCTGAAAATTTTTTTACCAAAAAGATTCGTAATGTACTTTTTAAAAAAGAAAATTAAATGATTTTTATTATTTAAAAATAATTTAATAATTTGGTATTGGTATTAGAGTTGATAGGCTTAGCCGGCTAAGGTTTTTTACCGGCTGATATCACTGAACAAATCATCGATAGATGAATAACTAGATAAACAAGTTTTAAATTAAAAGTTTACAAATTTTAGGCTTTTAAAAATCAATTACTTGCATCCTTCGTATAAAAGTACTCGGCTTAAAACAAACCAATTCTTGGATCCGTTGTACCCACACGATTTTCTTTTCCAACTATAGGGATGTGACCATCTGAAGGAATTTCTTTAATTAGATATAAAGAAAATCATTGGTTTATGACACAGAAAAGTGGCGTTCTTTGAAGGTCAATATATTCCTAATCGAGAAAGCCATGGAAAAATTTTAGAACTCCAAGTTGGTAAATTTAATTATAAGCAAAATTTTGGGATCGACATTAAAAAAAATATCATATTCATTTTAATTTATAAAAGGAAAGTGATAAACAGTCTAGTTTTTTTGTATCAATGAAATAAAAAATATTCATGTTGGCTGTGCGTGTTTTCACAATAAATTTTAATCATTAGGTTTAGTTGATATAATAATAATAATTTAATTGAAATCATATGAACATTTTTTTTATGAGGCGTACAAAAATCATCAATAATGGGTAATTTAAATTTATATGTAAAATTATTTTTTTTATTTTTTTTTTTTTTTATTATACAGTTAAAAACGGTTAAAAAAAATTTGGAAAAATTAAAATATAAAGGGAAAAAAAAATATACAATTTAAAAAAGAAAGAAGTGAAAAATAGAATAAAAAAATTTTTTGTACAAGTAGTAATTGATAATATATACATATTTGTATATATGTTGTATATATAAAATATGTAAAATAAAATCTAAATATTATATTATGTATTCTAAAATTTAAAATTGCATTTTTATCTATTATTGTGATGAATATGTTGGTTGATGTGTGTTGAAATGTTTAACCGCCAGTTCATCCAAAAGTAAAAGTAATAAAGGAAGAAATGAAAGAGATGGATTATACAGTAAAGATTCATATATATTTCTTCAATATTGTAATCTTATTCCATTTACAAACATTTCATCATAGCTTTCCATTTCCAAGTCATAAAAATGTGCTTTTTTATTATCAGACCAACTCTCGTCAGCAAATTTTTCAAAATTAGGAAAACTCGTATATTCTAATGAATCAGATGTTGAAAATATTGAAGATGTTGGAGTTGATGGAATTTCACTTTCTGGAGTTTGCCCGGAAGAGCTGTTAGTTTTAAACGAAGATGATGATGACGAGAATAATAAATCAGGAGCAGAAGAGGCTGTTGGTAAAGAAATTGGACTAAAAGATAAAGATCTTATTGAGATTGGTGATTTGCTGTTATTACAAACATTCGATCTTCTACGAGTGTGTATTGGAGTATAAGAGAATGTTGGGTGCCTATGTAACGAATAATTTATTATTATGGGATCCAAGGTTGGTTCTGGAGATGTTGAACGTGAAGAAGAAAGTGAAGTTGTTGGTGAAGAAGAAAGATCTTGCATTTGATTATTATTGTTGTTGTTGTTGTTGACAATATTATTTTTGTTGTTATCACTGCTATTACTTTTGCTATTCTTATTAATTAAAATTATTTGTTGCATTTTTTTGCCTTGGATCTTTTTTCTTTTGATATTTGTTGAATATTTTGTTTTTTTGTTTTTGTTTTGAATATTATATATTTTGTTCTAAATTATTGTTTTTTATCGTTGGTTGATTGTTTTCAAATTTTAAACATCTATCTATCTATCTATTCAATATTTATTATTTATTATATATTATTAAAAATTATATGTAAAAATATAAAATGTTATTTTTGAAAGGTGTTTTTTCTTTTTTTTTTTGACCCCGTATTTATATATTTTTTCTATGACGATCATGTTTATTAATAAGTGCTCCTATTGCAACAATAATAAATATAAAATCAATCAATCAATCTATTGAATAAATAAAAAACCACTATATATAATATATTTATTATAATTACAATATAAATAAACTTTACTTTTCATTTATAGAAACCATAGCTTCTTATTTATAGTTTAGAACATACTAAATTATATATATCCTTCTCAAAATATACAATTATTATCTTCTATTGTTACCAAATATCAACCATAATTACAACATAAAGAAATGAGAGAATAGATATCATCGGTACACAAACTATAATAATAATATTTTTTGAATTTATCTCGGAAAAATAAGGAAATTTCCAGTTTTAATGCTCATAATTTAATAATTTAATATTTCATCATTTATCCACTTACATTTATTTATGCATATCAAACTTTTTAGTTGAAACCACAAAAAAAAATTTATTTGGTCACAAAAGGTACAACAATTCAACCACACAGTAAATAGTTTGACAACACGCACGCTCACCAACTCATAATTCAAAACACCACTCAATTTAATTATACCCGTTACCGCGATTGCTCATGCTGTTATCCATAAATGATTTAATTTAACTTGTGCTAACTTCTAATAAATAATATAAATAATATAAATAATATATTAATAACTCAATATAATTAAATGGTAAACGATAATGTATGAAATAATAAAATTTGGTTATTATTTTTGAAACAAACAAACAAATTCATTATAATCACGTGCGGTAGGTACGTACTTGGACCTCGAGTTTTGCAACAAAATAATAGAGTTTTATTGGTTACATAAATTTTATTGAGAGCTGATTTTTGCTAAATTTTGAAACCTTTGTATGGCAAAACGGATAAGCATTGTGATTCTAGAAAATATTGAAGATTTACTTGTAACTTTAAATTTATATTTTGGCCGTGTAGTAATTCAACTTTGAAGAAATCATTGACCAATTTATCATATACACTTCCTGGGGAAAAGTTTCAGTCAACCATAAAACAATTGATTTTAAACATAATAAAAATATAAATGATTTGTAGCTAAATTTCTTAAAAATGTGCATGCAAAATTCAAAGTTCCTGCGACTTCTAGGAAAATGGTAATAGTGATCCAAAAAAAAAATATAGCCTGCAAAAAAAATCAATTTCTCAAAAACTTACATAATAACCACATCTGAAATTTTTGATATATGATGATGATAGGTTTAAATCTGATAAAACGCGTCGCATGTTTTTTTATATTTTTTTTGTTATTTACTTTTTTTAATAAAAAAAAAAATATCAAATTTAAAAGAAATTGAATGCGGTCAAATAATAAAAGCGGTTTCACATTTTCTATGTATTATTTCTAAATCACTTGGTCTTGCTAGAATTACTATGAAGCGGGCGTCTTAAACTTTTGGGTGTTGATAGAAGCTGTTATTACAAATAACGGGACAACCAACAAAGCACTGTCTTTATAAATAGTTCCTTTATTATTTGAATTATAAATCGACAAAGTTTTAAGTATGGTTGTATTGTATATTTTTGAGAACCTAAGCTACGAATTGATATAAATTATTTGTATTTTTACTATGTATGTTTTTGTTCAATATTAATTATTTTATGGTTGACTGAAACTTTTGCCCAAGCAAACCTTGTAAAAAGAGTGGTTTTTGTGAAAATAAATAAATTAATATACAAGAAAGTTCACAATTATCTTTCTCGTGATAACGGCGTTAATATTATGACCTTATAATCATTGAATTCAAAAAAACTATTCAAGGAAACCTTTTATTAAGTGCACCATTTCCTCTCTTCTTTTGAGAATCCATAATCGTTTTTCTTCTTAATTTTATGGGTCCTATCAAATTTTGTCGAGTCATTTTGTTGCCTGTACATTTACCGTCAAGTTTATAATAATAATAATCCAAAAAGGTTTTTGTAGATCAATAGCATATTTGTTGTTATTATCAATCTTTTTTTTGTAAAAAAATAATCATCAATCCCTAAGTTCAAAATATAATGTATCAACAACGTGTAATTAATCAATGTTCTAGGTCAACAACTACTAGTTCCCTCTCAAGGAAATGGTTAACCACTACCACGACCACAAAACAACTTAAATATACTTATCCATATATAAGCAAACCAAACTTTACTTCTAACAAGGTGTATTCCTCCACTTCTCCTCTTGCTTTACTACAACTCCGGAATCTTTCTTCTACTATTCCTAAACTTGACTTATTTTCTCCACTGGATACTTTTCCTCGTAGGCACAATGGTTCTTCTGAAACAGAAATAAAATCTATGCTTGATACTGTTGGTGTTAAAAATATGGATGATTTGGTTTCAAAAACTGTTCCGGAAAACGTCAAGTCAGAAAATCTTTTAAATTTACAACAAAAAGGATTATCGGAAACCCAATTGCTTAAATACTTAAAATCAATTGCATCAAAAAACAAAATCTATAAATCTTATATTGGAATGGGTTATACTGATGTTATTGTTCCTCCAGTAATTCTTAGGAATATTTTAGAGTCACCTGGATGGTATACACAAGTAAGTAAACAGATTCTTTTTTTTTTTTTAATAGTTATTATTTGTTGCATGGCCCAGAAAAAGAACTTTCCAGTGAAAGAAGTGACTTTCTTAGTTTTAGCAATCGATAAATCATATAAATATCTGTATATATATATATATATATACATATATACATACAAATTGAGAAAATTTTCATTCATGGAAATTTATCATTGTGAAAGATTGACGTCGTATTTTACTTATAGTATACTCCCTATCAACCGGAAATATCTCAAGGTATCATCAAATTAAAAAATCATCTATTTAAATCTTAATATATTAATATTTATAATAATGATGATGATGATAATTAATCATTAAAATGTATATATATACTACAAAAAAGGTCGGCTTGAATCATTATTGAACTTTCAAACTATGGTGACGGATTTAACGGGTATGGATATTGCAAATGCATCTCTACTTGATGAAGGAACTGCTGCTGCTGAAGCCATGTTAATAACATGTGCTGCTACCAAACAAAAACATAGCACTTTCTTTATTGATGAAAATTGTCATCCACAAACAATTGCATGTGTTCAAACAAGAGCAGAATGCTTTGGTATTAATATAATAATCGGTGATGCATTAAATTATGATTTCACTCAACAAAAAGATTTATCTGGAATATTAATTCAAGCAAGTATAAAAAAAATTTTTTTTGAGTAATTTTCATTCTCATTTCATTTATTATAATTTAAAAAGACTTTATAATTTATTGTTATTGTATTCGTGGTTGTTATAATTGATGTATAGTATCCTACAACAGCTGGATCAATCAATGACTATTCCTCTCTTGCTGATACAATTCACTCACTGGGTGCCCAAGTTGTCTGTGCAACAGATTTGATGGCTCTTGCTTTACTCAAACCTCCTGGTGAATGGGGTGCTGATATTGCAGTAGGCAACAGTCAGCGATTTGGCGTTCCGTTGGGTTATGGTGGTCCACATGCTGCTTTTTTTGCTTGTCGGGATAAGAATAAACGTAGAATGCCTGGTAGATTGATCGGCGTATCTAAAGACTCATCCGGTAATAAAGCATATAGATTGACTTTACAAACTAGAGAACAACATATTAGACGTGAAAAGGCAACAAGTAATATTTGTACTGCTCAAGCATTATTGGCTAATATGGCCGCCATGTATGCTATTTATCATGGACCTAAAGTAAGCAAATAAATAAATAAATAAATAAATATATAAATATGTATAAAAATAATTTCATAATTAATTGTTAAATAATCTTTCTTATACACCTAATGAATGTATAGGGAATACTTGATATTGCAGAACGTATTCATTATTTGACAACTACCCTTGCTGATCAGCTTTCAAAAATTGGTTATACCATCAAAACAAAACATTATTTTGACACTTTGAATATACATGTTGATAATGGATCTGATTCCATTATTCAAAAAGGATTAGATGCTCATATAAATCTTAGAAAGGTTGATGACAAAACAGTTGGCATTACTTTGGATGAAGCTGTTACCAAAGAAGATTTAGAAAATTTGATCAAAATATTTGCTGTATATGAAAATAAGGTTCCGAAAACTCCAGACTTGTCTGAAAACACAAATTCCACCATCCCGAAACAATTAATAAGGACATCATCATTTTTACAACATGAAATTTTCAATTCCTATCATTCGGAAACTGAGATGTTACGCTACATTTATCATCTGCAATCAAAGGATCTTTCTCTGGCTCATTCAATGATTCCATTGGGTAGTTGTACTATGAAACTTAATGCAACAACAGAAATGATTCCAATAACTTGGCCTGAATTTACAAATATTCACCCATTTGCTCCAATAGATCAGACCGAAGGGTATAGAATTTTAATTAATGTAAGGATTTTATTTATATTTATAATGTATTTGTATATTTTTTAAAAATTTTTTTTTTAATCTATATTTAGGAACTTGAGAATGACCTTGCCTCATTGACAGGATTTGACGGTGTTTCATTACAACCTAATTCTGGAGCACAAGGAGAATATACCGGTCTGCGTGTAATTGATGCATATCATAAATCAAATGGTCAAAATCGACGTAATATTTGTCTTATCCCTGTATCAGCTCATGGAACAAATCCAGCATCAGCAGCTATGGCAGGAATGGAAGTTGTACCAATTAAATGTGAAATTAATGGTGATCTTAATATTAAAGATTTAGAAGAAAAGGCATTAAAATATAAAGATAATTTATCAGCATTTATGGTAACCTATCCATCAACATTTGGGGTTTTTGAAGATACCGTTGTTGAGGCGTGTGACATTATTCACAAGCATGGTGGTCAAGTTTATATGGATGGTGCTAATTTAAATGCACAAATTGGATTATGCAAACCAGCTGATATAGGTGCTGATGTTTGTCATTTGAATTTACATAAAACGTTAGTATAAACTTGTTATGTTTATTGTTATTATTATTGTCATCATCTAATATATATATATATATATAGATTTTGTATACCACACGGAGGAGGTGGTCCTGGTGTTGGTCCTATTGGAGTGTAAGTAAAGTTATAGATGAATTGAGTTTGTTCTATAATTTAATAACATATAAATTATAAATTAATATTATTTAGAAAATCACATTTGGTCCCTTTCTTACCTGGGCATCCTATAATAAAAACTGGCGGTGAGAAGTGTATTGGACCAGTATCAGCAGCTCCTTTTGGATCAGCTGATATTCTCCCTATATCTTGGGCATATATTAAAATGATGGGTAATATAATTCATTCTTTATAACCATATTATTTATATTAATTAATAAGTTAATGGTTGATAATGGTATTATTAGGCGGAGAAGGATTGAAATTGGCAACCGAACTTGCTCTTTTAAATGCAAATTATATGGCACGTAGATTATCAAACCATTATAAAATATTGTTCACCAATAAAAATGGAATGTGTGCGCATGAATTTATAATTGATATTAGACCTTTTGAAAAAACTGCTGGTATTCAAGCTATCGATATTGCAAAGCGTCTTCAGGTAATAAATAAATAAATAAATATTTTTAAAAGATTATTTCATGTTTATTTCATCTCATTTTATTTATTTAGGATTATGGCTTTCATTCTCCAACAATGTCATGGCCAGTACCAAATACCCTCATGATCGAACCAACGGAATCTGAATCAAAAGCAGAATTAGATCGGTTTTGTGATGCAATGATTGCAATAAGAGAAGAGATAAATGAAATTGAGAAAGGGAAACAACCAAAAGGAGATAATACCTTGACCAATTCACCACATACCATTGAAACTTTAGTTAAATCAACATGGGATAAGGCTTATTCAAGAGAACAAGCTGTATACCCAATTAAATATTTAAAACAAAAGAAATTTTGGCCAACTGTAGGAAGACTTGGTATACTTTAATTTTTTTGCTAATAATAGTTAATAATTATTATCATTCTTTACTAAAATTTATTATTATTATATAGATGATGCTTATGGCGATAGAAATTTAATGTGCTCTTGCCCTCCAATTGAAGATTATGTATAAATAGTATATATACTAAATTAATCTAGATTTATAGAATATATTTATTTATTATTTTTTTTTTTTAGGGATTTATATTTCAATAGGTGCTGAAAATGTATAGTAAATAATATTAATAAATATATTAGATACAATAAATATCTATTAAATAGTTGATTGGTGAATGAACGAATGAATGAATTTATGCAATATAGAAATATTATTTGTATACGTACACCTATCACCATTATAGTCATTGTTCTCACCACCACCGATAATGTCGTCATTTTCAACATTCCTTCCATTTCAAAGATTCTGATTCTTCTCTTTTTAAATTATATGAATCTGCTATTTGTGACGAATTAATTATTTTATTCAATGATTCTTGAATTTTGGCTATTCAATAATAATAATCAGATTGATAAATAAATTATATATAAATATATTTACATCTTATATAAAGACCCACAAAAACATTATCAAACAAAACATCCAGAACAAAAGCTTCCTTGTGTTAGTATTTCTCTTTCCTGATCTATAAATGTTTGAATTTAATTTGAATTGAATATGTTCTTAACTCTAATATAAAATAAATAAATAAAAATTAAATAATTTATCTTAAAAAAAATTGATACGAAGGAATTAATATGAAATGATTTACCTGTCAAAGTGTAAAAGAATTGTTTGAAATTTTAAGAAATCCTTCGTATCAAATGATGATTTGGATGAAAAATATCTTATTAAATTATTCAAAGAAATCTTTAGCGAATTTACATAATCTTCACATCAGCATTCTTTTCAAATGGACCATAGCTTATCATTCAAAAAGGCACACTATATTCAAAGAAATCAGAATTACCACTAAAAGTATCCATATCGAACATGAAAGAGCTCTACGAAGTGATTTGGTTGCACCATTAAGAGCTTGTTGTGCATATTCAATATGTTTTAAATCATTCTTAAATCATATGACACCTAAAAACAAACAATAATAAAAATAAAAACTTATCAATAGATAGTAAATAATGTGAATTGATATTAACCATCTTTCATTTTTTTACCCGGTTAAATTGACCATATAATGTAAAAACCTGTTCTTCAAATACATTTTCTGATGGAAAATCTAACAACATACATACGAGTGCGCGTGTGTGATAGATAATTTTGTAATTAATTAAACTCCACGAAACAATTGGGCTTTATAATAACCATCTAATTGAAATTTTGATTCTAGTAGAAATTATTGAATTTTTAGATCGATTAATAAGCGATAAATTTATCAAATAATACAATACATTTTGAATGATTTCTTTGAAGGTCACTTTCATGCATTTCCAAAACAGTTTTTTCACTTTGTTCATTTTCAAAATTTGCCTCTTCTTTTATAAGTTTCTTGTTTAATCAATTTGTTAATTTTTCTATTAAACATTTTATTGTAAAATGTTTAAGTTGTTGAAACATCGTTAAATCTTTCTTTCTAAGAATTATTTCATCAAGACAAATCATAAACATGCATTTGAATTCGTATTTTTTTTTTATTCAAACATTTTGTTGTAAATCCTTAAATATTGTGTCTGAATAGTAATTGTGGTTCAACCCATTCTAATTCATGGATATTTTGTTAAATGATGATATTCTGATGATAATTGACGAATTTTTCCAAATGTCATTATTTTAAATTTTGCATAAAAGTTTTGTGTGATAAGTGATTGATTACGTTAAAAGTAACATTAGTATGATAAATGACTTTATTTCTTAGAATGATACAATTTGATATGATTCCTATTTAAAATTATTGATTGTTTGTATAGTGGAACTCTCATCAATCTCATTGATTTTAATTCATCATGAAAACTTTGAATCCTTTCTCATGATCCCCTTTTTCCAAAAAAAAAAAAATATATATATATAATACAATTGGATTTGTAGAGACGAAAGCTATAATAATAGGCGCATGTTACTTTTTAATACTTCATAAATAAAGTAATATATACTATGTATACATACATATGTACATAATATATTTACCCAATTGAGTCTTTGAATCTCCATAATAAATGTTAATAAGATCTGCATTTCATACTGATTGAAGAAAATATCTCTGAATTTTACTTGCAAAGTGAAATCAAAAAATGTTCTAATCTATCTTGATTAATATTAATAGGTAACGATATCTTCACAAATAATTATATTAATGTTATCATAAATATTATAAATCTATTTTTTTACTCTCATTTCCATTAGGGATAACAAAAGATAGTGATGAAAAATAGTCAATTCCACTTATTAATATTACTAGTTGGTGGTCATTCATAGTTACCTACCTATATATAAGGGCTTAGAAACATTAGGAAAAATTTTAGTCATTTTGTAAAAAGTTCATTTGATGATTCTTCAATATACCAAACCTTAGATTAGTCAAAAGATGGTGGTGTGAATTTGATAATTTGATGATGATATTAAGAATGCATTGAAAATTTAACACAAGAAATTATAGACATACAAATGCTAAAAATAAATAAAAAAAGAAAAAATTACCTCATTAGTAAATTTCTTGATTTACACCTAATTTGATAGTTGTAATACTTTTTTGATATTTATAATATTTATTTTCTTGAAATTATTACTATGAAAAATATTCATTTAATTGAATATATATATATTCATACATATCAAAGAAAATGATAGCATTTCAGATAACAAAATTATTTAATCATAATCTATATAAATCTAAAAGTTTCCAGGGAATAATTCGTTCATGATCAAATTTTCATTTTTTACAGCAATATCATCATCAACTTTTTCTATAAATTATATAATAATAATAATAATAACAATAATAATAATAATGCATTTTCTTAGATAAGAATTATCTTTTATCTTTTTTTTAGAAATTTTTTAGAAACTTACCAGAATCAACAATACTTTCTTCATTTCTCGTACTGCCTAATAAATGAATTGCTTCTCGTGGAAGATTTTTTTTCGGAAGTTTATTTTTTCTATATTTAATAGATCTATCTGGTTCTACAATTGATAAATAGTGAGAGAAACAGATCTCTTGACCGATTTTCAAGTAATTACACTTAGGATATGTGCCTTTCTCTACTGCTTTTCTATACGCCACTTTGGTGAAAGTACGAAATTTTGGGCTGTTATTTTCACAATTTAAAACGCTGCAAGGTCCGTAAAGCTTTTTATGAGGCATTTTAAAGTTATCAATTGATTAATAATTTTGTGTTGATTTTTTTTAATAAATACAGCAATATGATGAATTCACCACTACGCGTCTTTGCATAGTTAGGATAACTGTGTAACGTATCTTGTATGTGTCATCTATAAATGTCATAGCCCGAAATTTAAGATTTCCCTAAATTAAGTAATAATTTCTTTTACTGGAAAGATTTCTTGTATTATTATTATATTAATATACGAAAAAAAATTTTTTAACCCGATCATCAGCCTTTTTAGGAAATCACAAGATCATTCTACAATTTTAATATGGTTTAACTTTGAAGCCTTATAACCCAAAACTTTTCTAAAAAGTAAATCGATGGAAATGAAATTTAGGTCTTTAACTTTAATTCTATTGGTTTATATCTTTTTTCTTTTTCTTTTTAAATAAGCATCAAAGTCATATGATAATCATTGACCGTCCTGCACAGATCATGGTTAGATAATTTATTGGTTTAATTCAGTTTTGGCAATAATAATAATTTTCTTTTTAAAAAATATCTTTATTTAAAAACTTTTAATAACAAAAATTCGAAAAATATAATAATAAATAGATGAAATTATAAAATAAGTAAAATTATAAAAATAAAATCTAAATAAACACCAATTAATAAACTTCATCGACTTCTTTACTACTGCTAGCGCTACTGCTACCATTATTTTCTTTGTGATTATCGTGTTTATTCGCATCATAATGATTATTTTGTTGCCAGTATAATAAAACCTCGACAACACGCTCAATGTTACCATTAAATTTTCTTAATAAAATTTCATGTTTCGCATTTTTAGCTTCAGGAAATCCCATTTCATTTAAAATTTTGACCTTGTCAGACAAATCAGTATTTTCTTCTGCTGTTCTATTGTAACATGACTTAGGTTGTCTATAAAAACCTCCACAATTATTGTATTTGTAGTTGTTGTTGTTATGGGTTCCATTTTCATTGAATCGTTGTCTACAGAATTGTGATGGTGGTCCATAAAAATTAGATCTACCATTACATCTGTTATAACCACCACGATTTAATCCTAAAAATGAGTTATGCCAAGGATGATCAGAAGTAATATAAATAATAAATTCATTGTCTTCATCATTTTCTGCTTCATGGTTTTTATTATTATTATCATCTTTATTATTATTTTCAATGTCAGCGTTCTTGTTTTTATTATCGATCTTTTCAGAATTTTCTCTATCATCAACAAATAATGGGCTTTTTTCTTCCTCCTCCTCTTCTGATTCATCAACAAATGATACATGTTGATAATTTACGGTAGATGCAGTAGTATTACTGTCGCCCCCGCTATCTGCCATTTTATAGGGAGTGATTATATTTTTTTGTTTTTCTTTAGAACTATTATTGTTGCTGTCGCTGCTGCTGCTGCTGTTGTTGACACCACCTTCGATAACCCAAGATTCATCTTCAATTTTATTTGGAAATGCATCAATAGCCGTAGTGACAGCATTGGTTGTAGAAATGGTAGATGTATCAGATGTTTCGAGTGTAGTTACAACAAGTTTTATAGGTTTGTTTTTATTATTATAAGTAAATTGTTTTAGGATTTCTTCAAGTTCTAAATCGCTTGAAACGGTAATTTCATCACCATCCTCATCAATATAAAATACGTTGATTTTTAAGGCAGGGATTTGAAAAAGAGTACGAATTTGTCGTTCTAAATCCAACCAGTTCGGTGAATCGGTTGGAATTGAGAAACGTCTAGAGATGGAATCATAGGTAACTTTTATGGATGTTGTTGTAGACATTTTTATTTTTTATTAAAATAATTTGAAGTTTTGAATATTGAATATTTACAGGATGAAGTTTCTGAGGTCATATTTATAGGATTATTTTATTAGATTCGTAATTAGATTCGTAATCGATTATTATTAGATTCGTAATAATATTATTATTATTATAATATAAAATTACGCGTGTACTTACGTGGCATTATTAATTTAAGCTAGATTGAACTAGAATATTTCCGCTTACAAATATAGTAACAATAAAATTTTTGAATGATTATGCACATATCGTGTAACGTAAATCACTTTCATGACGTAACTTAAAATGGCGCAGTACGATTACTTTATTATTATTATACTAATACACAGTGAGTGGTCTCGGTTTAACGGACATGTTTGTTCCCAGGAAAATTTATTCGCTAAACCGAGAGATCCGCAAAAAGCGAAGCTTATGATCAAATCACGTGCTATAAATTAAATATTTACGTAAAAAAAAAACAAAAAAAAATAAATAACGGTAATTGTTGACTCATAAATTCGTCAATTCGACATTGTTTGCTTCTTGGGTACTTTCTATAAGAAATTTCTCTTTTAACTTCAATACATTTTTAATCATTTGAGAATCAACTTCTAAATCTTTTTGTTGTGCGCATTTCCTAAACTATTTATAGCTTCTGTACTTGTTACAATCGGTTCACTTATCTTATCGACACCCTCATTATCTTCAACTTCAGGTTGTCCCAGACAATGTTTACAATTTCTTGTTCCATCATTCTTCGAATTCAAGATTTTGATCAATCGTGATAAATTCGTCAGCATTTATTATTATAATACATTACGTTCATTACGCTTATAAAATTAGATTATCCAAAAATAAAAAAGACAAGGATGAAAATCCGTTAAATCGTTAAAGCGAGATAAAATAATTATAGAAAAGTTTGGTTTTTGAAAATTTATCCGTTAAACAGGTTTCGGACCCAATTCAGAAATGGATCAATATAGGAATTTAACACCACTATTTTTAATCATCTGGTGACGGTCAATTGAATAAAATATTTTAGATTTATGCGAATGTTTTATTTATGATTGGTTTAAAAAAGATTTATTATTGTTATTATTATTACTTATTATTATTATTATTATTTATAAAAGATCCTTTACATTATATACTCAATACTGGTTTTCCTTATAACACGATTTTCTATGGTAGCTGCAGTTGAAGATGATGAAGATGAAGATGATAATTCATTAACAATAGGTGTAGTAGTAGATGTTAAATTATTTGTAGAATTTTTGGTTTCTAAATTAAAACCCAATGTGCTAGACTTGTTATTTGTAGAAGAAATGTCTGTAGTAGTAGTAGTAGCAGCGACAGCAGTAGCCTCCTCCTCGGGTATATCATCCAAAAGAATTATATTATGTGATTGTGATACACCAGATTTTTCATTCATTAAATCAAGTTCATTTTTTTTTATAGTAAATTCTTTAAAATTTTCTGATAATTTATATCCTAACAGTGTATCAGAACCATTTGCATCTATAGACATTAAATTGTTATCATCATCATCATCATTATTATTGCCATTATTATTATCATTATTATCAATTAATGTATTAGAACAATTTATTGTGTTGTCCTGATTTATTATAACTTGACTCTCTAGTGACGATTTCAAGTTAGGCCATTTATTTAAATCAAACTCTGATGGATTATTTTTTTTCATTTCCTTTTCTTTTTTAGATAATCTTTGCATTGCCATCTAATTATTATATTAACAAAAAAAAGAGAGAAAAAGAAATTAAGAAAGTAATGTAAAAAAAGAACAAATCAATACTTTGCGTTTTATATATATTTACATTTTCTATCAATTTTTCAAGCTTCCTTCGCCATAAATTTAATTGATTTTCATCTTTAATCTTATTTTGTTGTAATATTCCCAATGTTTCATTCAAATGTTTACTTATTAACATCTTAGCATGATGTTTTGCAATTGATAATGATCTAAAATCTTGATCCACTGACCTATCAAACTAATATATGCGTGTATGGTGTGTAAGTAAACCTTGCTTTTTTAAAAAATTGACAATAATATATATAAATCAAAATTACCTGAACTACTGATTTTCTCAAAAAATTCAAAAGAAACGATTCATATTGTGAGTCAACGAATACCTTTTGACCAATTCTATTCTCGCAATCCAATATTTGTTCATTATATACCTGTTTTGATTCATGAAGAATTGTCTGCATTCCAAAATAAAGAATTTTACATATAGGTAATTATGTTGGTTTACAAATATTATAGATATATACACATATTACACATATATAATGTCTCGAGTGTTTCACATATATAATATATATGTACGTATTTGTATAATATTTGTCAAAAAAGATGACGTTACCATACCATCAATGCGCAACAAAGTTGTTGCATAACACTTGGACAAGTATATAATTGTTTATTTACACTAAATGTTACCCTGTTGACCTTAGGCAACTCCTTGCCTTTTCCTTTCGATATTTTACCATTTTTAGATTTGGTACCTTGTGATGGTGTGTTAATAGCATCAAAGTCATTTAGAATGGTATTTTCAGATGTTCTAAAAATACAAAATGTGTTAGTTATTCCATCTGATATTTGTCCTTTTGGACCTAGTGAGGGAAATCCTGTTGTAGATATTGAAATGATAATACCAGCACTATTTGGATGCTATATAAATAATACGTGTATATCAGATGTAAATGTAAACGTATATTTACACAGTATCTTAGATGTATTAATAAAAGGAATAAAACTAAAATTAATAAGACATTTACTTGTGTTTGTAATTTTTGTTGTTTTATAATATCAGCTTGTGTAATAATCGAATTAGAATTAGATGAGATGTTACTTTTATTTACAATATAAATAAAAACACACATTTAATAAGAGTTTTGGTGGATTTGATTAATACAGTCACCAACAATATTAATAAAATGAAATGACAGTAATGGTATCGATTGAATTTCAAAAACGTCATACCTTCGATACCAGCCTACTAATATTAGTCCCATATCCTTAAATTTTTTGATTGTTTCTTCATAAGCCAGATTAATCTCTTTCACTGTGTCAGTCAGTAGAGAAGGAATACACCTATAAAGGAATTTATAATTAATTAATTAATCACAAGTATAGATATAAATTCACGCGTGTATAGATAATACGAAAACTAACCTTTCCAAAGCTACAAATTGACTAACATGACATATGATCATATCAGATTTGCCAATGCTACATTTTCCTCCAAGATAACCAATAACCTGATGCTTTGGGTCAGAATAAGCACATTCCAAAAGAGCCGAAAATACAGACTCGTCAATGGACAAGTGGAAATTACTAGAAAATGAAAGTAAAAGAATTGAAACTTTTAATTTTAAATTTTTTTTGTTGTTTAGGTCTTTTTTGCTATCTTGCCAATTTTTTCCCTGTTTAAAAATTTTTATGGCTACTATATATATATATATATTTTGCTGACCATTTACAATGTAGTTGGGAAGTGACTTGCTTACCCAGGACCCTGTTCGATCATATTTGAGGTCATATAGAAAGTTGTCTTTTGAAATCGTATTTATTTATATAATACTTTTTTCCAAATAAAAAATAACAATAGGTGTGAATGTATGAAAATCTGCTGAACAATTAAATGTTTTGGGTGATTTTTGAAACGCAAGCTTTTTAAGACTCTATTGAGTAACGATCTTAAACTAATCTATAAGATCGTTTGAAATCCAAGGTGTTTATACAAGCTCTATAAATTAACTAGTTTTTTAATTGCTTGCTATTTAGGTAGCACAATGTGAATTAATCAAAATATTTAATTTCAAATTGGATGTTTCGATAAATAACAATAATGTTAAACGTCACGAGAAGAAGAAGGATAAATTCTACTTCTAGTAATACAAGTGTTGATAGTATCAAAAGCAGCAATAGTAGCAGCAATTTCAGTAATTACGATATTAATGGCATAAAATATATTAATAATGATGGTAATGGTAGTGATTATGATAGCGATTATGATGCAAGCCATATAAGCTATAGGAGTGGTAGTAGTAATGCTAGTAATGTTAGTATCGATGATAGTGGTAGTGGCGATATAAATATCATGGAAAATATTGATACAAAAAAGAAGAAAAGGCAATATAAACAACTTGGATTTCAAGAGAATGTTAAACTGTGCATAGAATATTTTTGGAGAGGCTTCTGTGATGCATTTGCTTGGCCCTCAAGTTTGTTCATAATTTACGGGTAAATTGATTATTATCATCATCATCGTCGTCATCATCGTCATCATCATCGTCATCATCATCATCGTCATCAATATAATCATATACATCTATCATTTCTTTAGATCTAATACACTTAGAAATCGAACGTTAAAATGTTTTACTTTGAATGGAGTAATTTTTCTAGGAAGTATATTTTTTTTCAAGAATTTTACACTGCCAATAATCCATTTTTTCTTAGGAGATCCGGTGTTAAATAGTAAAGGAGGAGAAAATCATTCGCTGTTTATTTCAAGTTTTTTAGATTCAATTGTGAATTTGATTTATCAGGTATTTAATAAATAGACACATACATATTCTTTCACTTTATTATAATTAATTTGTCTTTTACTTATTTTTATTTAATAGTTATTTTGGGTTTACCCAATATTTTTATTAAGCTTTATATTAAATTCAATGTGGTACCAAGATATTGCAAATCGTATTTATAAATTACAATATGGAGAAACAATTAATTCCAAATTTAATTATGATAAATTGTTGAAAGCAATGGCAGATGAAATATATAGGACCATATTATTTATGAATTATTTAATATTTTCAACAATCATTTACATTATACCAATATTTGGTCCATTATTTTCATTTATATACTTTTGTTGGATTTATTCATTTTATAGTTTTGAGTAAGTAATTTTATTTTACTCTTATTATTTTTCTTGAGGAGAAATTACTATAACAAATTATCATTGAAATATTTAATCAACAAATAGATATAAGTGGATAAATAAAGGTTGGTCATTAGAACGGAGAATTGATTATTTTGAAGAAAAATGGGCTTATTTCGCAGGATTTGGTATTTATCAAAATTTAATCCCTTTAAAATTCTTTTTAATTAATATTAATTTATTAATTTATTATTAGGTTTTACTTTTACTTTTATAACATTTTTTGTAGATGTGTTTTTTAGTACTGGAATATTTGCTTTATTATTTCCTATTGTAAGTAAATTCATCTATAATAATAGATAATATTAATGCATTAACAAATATTATATTATATTTAGTATATAATAATGGCCCATAATGCTTCACCAATGCCAAGGAATAACAAGAAATTAAAATTCTCTCCACTAATTCCTTATAAACTTCCAATATTTTGGGTAGCAAAAAAGATGAATGATAAACTTATAACCATTTTTCATAATAGAACAATTAAATAATAGTATATATTAAATTATTATTATAATTATATATAACCAAACAAACAAATGAACAATCAACATTTTAAATATAAAATTTTATCTTCCTTTCTCCTTCAAATATACAAATATACAAACATTAAAATAAAACAATAAATAAAATGATTAACTGTACTAAAATTTAAATAGTTGAGAATAAATTACTAAATCGATTAACAATTTACATATACATGTTATTTGTAAGGCCAATCCATTTAGTATTATGGAAAACATGCATAACCTGTATAAATTTATTAGACTACTCATCAATGCACCATTTGATCACGAAATAGTCTACTTCATTAAAAATAAATCATGAAAACACAATAGGATACTAGGATGCTCTGCATCCAGCTCAGGAAAAGCCTTCATGTGTGACCAACTTTATGAAACCGGCCATGCCAGCTAGATCACCATGTGCCCAATTTGGGCAGTGTCCCCACAACGGGCTCTCAAGTGTGTCCTGATGACAGGAATAGGCCACATGGTATATAACACATTGTGTGTGGTTTGACAACAGAAATAGGCCGTCATTGTCATCCTGACATATAATGCTTCATATGTGGCTTGACAATGGAAATAGGACTTGTTCATATGTACAAGTTACAAGCATTGTTTCAAATACAGACAGTATTTTTCCAAATTTGGAAATCAATTCTAGAAAAATTAGAACCCATGTCAATCAATTCATATATAATTGAGTTAACATGGGGTATGCTGCAACAAAACCAGACAAAGTGAACATTGGTATTACCAAGGAATTCAGGGATCAAAGTTTAGTCATTTGTAACGTGATTATAATTAACAGTTTATAATGTCCCATTTTCTATCTTGAGTGATATATAGAACTGACCCCATATAAAAATAATAAAAATTTGCTAGAATTAAATAATATTTGTTGTTATTTTTTATTTGTATATTAAAAAGGTGGTGGTGATTATTAACCTGTTGTTTGCTACTCTACTCTATTTATATAGATAAAAAATAAACATGACTTAGCTTTTTTGTTGTTATTAATACTTGTACATGAATACCTGATTATTCAAACAATTGCATCACCCAGGTAATAATAACACCAAGACCATGCAGAAATGAAACTTTTAATAACACATGTCTACCCAGATCTCTGGGGTACACAAGAATAAATAAATAAATAAATAGGGAGGATCAAAAAAAATCACTTCCCTTTCCCATTGTATAGTTCCTTATGAATAATAAATCTGATGATAATAACAGGTGTCAGATTTAATTAAAATTTCCTATCACAAATAGTGTTCCATGTTGCAATCCAAAAAAGGAAACAAAATGGTCATAAAGGTGGTTGCAATCATTTATATGATGCAAAGATGGTAGCAACCATCATCAAAAGTTGCAGCCGGTATCCTTAATCACAAACATGCAATCGCGATGCAATTAAGCACAATTCAGCACTATGGATTTTTTTTCCACAGGTGAAGGAGGGTTGAACATGTTGGAAGGCTTTGGAAAAAACTTTCCTTATCTTCTCCTCAGACCAGGCTTGCTGTTATCACATGAGCATTGATAGCTGATGAGGATTGGCATTTGTGTGATGATTGCTTTGTTTATACCTCTGTAGAATAAAGTTGGTGTTCATCAGGAAAATGGGTACAAATATTATGCATATATAATACACAATTGCAGGGATTAAGCATATAATATATGTACAATTTGCATACATAAAAAAATATGTGATTTGTACACATATTATATGCTTAATTCCTGCAATTGTGTATTATATATGCATAATATTTGTACCCATTTTCCTGATGGCCTTAAGACTGGTTTGAAAATTCAGCAGCTCAGGAGGTTGCAGCCTGGGTTGCTGTTTTGGATTTTCCCTGAATTCTGAGTTTTGAGGTCTGGGTTGTTGTTTTGTTGGTGGTACATCTTCTCACCAGCAACCTTACCCACATTTAAAAAATAATGAATTCACTTGGTCAAACAAAATTAAAGAAACAGAACATTTGGGAATGATTAATTTATAACATACCAAAACAAAACCTGAGCCATTTAATTTTACAGCTTTTCTCTTAACATCAGAGCCCAAATGCAATTTCAGGGTCACCAGCCTTGCAACCTCCTGTGCTTGAAATGAGCTGCAGATTCTTTTAATATTCCTCCAGAGTTGTGATAGCTTGGTCACAGATCCATCCTTACCTTAGAGGTAGGATTGTTGCAGGCAATTTTTCAGCTAACATGCAGCCTTCTCTGGTCTGTATGCTGCGAGTGAAAGGCATCATTGATGATTGATGCAGTCTCAGTAAACTCCAGGGCCACATACCCCCCTGAAAATTTTGTTGCATCATTGTATCTCAGGGCAAGCTAGTCAGGTTAGCCTTTGTACACAAGGAAGAGGAGAGAATGACTGTAAAAAGTTCAAGATAGCATGCATGCCTTCAACGTCTGTTAATTTCTGATAATCAAACGTTCTGTATCAAAATGTTTCATATTTGAATTGTTTCTTTTTCAACAGTCAATGCTGCCTTGACATCTTGTAATTAATTATATAGTTAATATTGATTATGGTTATGAAAAGCCAAATACCAATTATTTGCCATCTTGATGAGAATCTTATAATTACCCAGTGAGTTCTGCTCCATATTTTGATTTCAATAATTAAAATAAAAGACACCACATTATATCAATACAAATTAAAAAAAAGTTACCTCTGGTTGTTATTAACATGTCTCTTTTTAGAACCAATCATGCTAAACAACAACACTCATGTTTTGTCATCTGTCAAAAAATAAAAAATAAAAAAAAATAGGGGTCCATACATAAATAATAGATATGTTGTCGATTGATCAACAAATTCTTTATTATATTTTCTTTTTTATAAAATAAAACATGCCTAAAGAAAAAAATCAAAGAAAAAAAGACAGTAATCAAGATGGTTATTATGAGTAAGTGTTTATCATAAGAATGGCAGTTATTGCTTGGTGATTGCATTTATAGATGTTGGTTACTAAAATATGTGATTAACATTTTTTTAAAAAAAAAAAAAAAAAAATTTCAAAATCAAATGAACAAAAAGAAAAAGAAGAACTACATCAGAAAGAAAAGAGGATCTTCAATCAATTGATACTACGAGTAGTTCAGAAAATGAAGATCTATCTAAAGTTGAATTCAATAGCATGGGGATCAAAGAAAGAATATCAGGAGTACACATACTATTTTGTATTTGAATTAATTTGGTATTTAGATAGATTTATTATTTATTTTTTTATATCCTTCTTTTTTAGTTCATTATCAAATATCCTATCCAAATATGACAGCTGTGGCAAGATTAATATGCAACAGCATTGATAATGTAAAAATACATCCAGAAGACTTGCTTCCAAGTGGTGTAATCAATATCAAAATTTTGCAGCAATATAATTATCCACTATACAAAAAAATTAAGAAAGAGAAATATCTTGATAAATTAAAATTGCATGATCTTGAAAGTTACAAGGTTAAATTATCAAATGAAGAAAAAAATTTTATCAATAATCATATCAAACATGGTTATAGTGGTTATAGTAATATATTGAAAATTTGTAAGGAGTAAAGACTAGTGCTGTACTGTAAATTATGAGGATGGTAGTAATTGTATTTAGGGCATATAAAGAGTGGTTGCAATTACCTTTGCAACCACTTTTGCAACCATACTTTTTCCTTTTTTGGATTACAGCACTAGTCTTTAGTAAGGAGACAGTGATCTTTTACAATTCACTTGGCTCACTCCTAACACAAACTGAGAGAACGTGGACATCACCATTGTATAAGCAAAAATCACAAGAAATTACAGAACGATCATATTCTCATCAAGTAGTTAAGCCAATATTTGATTTTTTGCTATATAATATTGAAGAAATTGATATCGAATTTGATGGGAAATCAGAATCTACCATAAATAGAAATGGTGGTGTATTGGGGCCAAAATGATATCCTGATGTTAAAATATCAAAAAATTATCAAGGTCACAAATGGGAATTAATGTTCTGTGAAATCAGTTACAGACCATACTCATATGACAAAGCACATTACTTAGAAGATGGAGTAAGACTGGGAAAATTTGCAAAAGATTCTTACAATTATGACCACATGTTTACTCAAAAATTTGAAAATTTGAAAAAACTTGAATCTATCTTTGATAAAATCAAACACTTGGTAATCCATTTTTACAGTACAAGAATGGTCATTTTTGTTCTGGATTACAATTTAAAACCTTTTCATAGAATGGTTTTAGTAAAATCATTGGAAGTTCCGATTACACAAAGTTCAACACAGAAAATTAATGAATTTGTTGTATATGATATAATGTTCACTTTTTGTCTGGTTTTGTTGCAGTATGCCCCAAATATGAAATTTATAGAATTGGGGGAATTTTTTTTTTAAATGCATATATGCATATAAAGTTAGCTCAGTTCTGAATCAGAACTTATGCATGAATGCATTAGTTTTACTAAGGCCCACAATACTATTTACATATGTAATGTAGTGTGCCAATAGACAGGCGTGACTGTATAATTATCCATATAGATAAGTTACTTTTCAGCCAGGTCAAAGAGGCCAAAAAATTCCCTATTAAAAGCAGCCTGCTACATTTACACTCAACACAAGATCCCTATTCAAACTTCACAAATGCAGACAAAGAATGAAGAATCGTGAATTTAATGTTTCCATATATGTAGTAATAGTACTAGGTTGTCAATTGCAGCAGACTGCTAAAGTTCATGAAAAATTGACTAACTGATTATGAGTTGTATAAGGTGGGTTAAACTTTATATCAAACCATAAATTTTGTTACAGACCTATCTATATAGTTTTGGGTCCCAATGGATTTTTTCAGAAATTCTTTAAGTTAAAGGTCTTTGAAGATATGCTCTATTAACAAAGCTTTAAGTAACCAAAGAAAATTTAGAAAAATATTTGCTGTTTTATAAAAGGGCCAAATTTATTTATTGATTATAAATTGTACCATAAAGTGCACTTACAGATTTTTCAAAGCTTTCTAAGCACAAGAAAAAGGCAGAAAGCAAGGAAATTGTTAAATAAATTTGTAAAATACCTAATTGATGAGTATTGAATACAAAAGCTTTCAATGAGCGTAGCAGCTCGAAAGTTAATTTAAACTCAGCAATAAACATAAAATAACCAAAAAAGCTACCTCACAATATGTGACAAATGTTAATTGGTTCTAAAATTTTATTAACATTAATAAGTATAGGTGCTCAAGTTGTATATGACTATTTGTCTTTACAAATGTCAATTGTTTTATTAGAAAAAAAAATGTATAGATAAAATGTTAAACAATATATAAGTACTTGAATATAAAGATACTAATAACAATTAAAAACATCTTAACCATTAAGAACTATAACAATCATAAGAGGTATTTGTACACTCCCTAATAATAAAAAACCTAATGTAAAAATTTCAATAATCAGATGAATAAAATTTATTCATGAATCTAAATATCTAAATTCATTTGATTAGAATCTATAAATATAATAATTTATAACATAATAAAATAAATTAATGTTGAAATTGATATTTAATTTTAAAATTATTAAATAAATAATGATAATTACCATTATTATTATTCAAATTCATTTGACTAAAATCTATAAATATGATAAAGATAATATTAATATTAATATTGGTATCAATATTGAATTTAAATCAATAATCAAGTAATTACCATTATAAATATTATCTAAATCAATTAGATGAGAAACTATAAAATGGTTATTTAAAAATAATATTAATGCTGATATTGAATTATAAGATAATAATCAAATAATTGATGATAATTACCATTATTATTGCTAATAATTGTAACTTTATTGGAGTTTACAGGTTGAGGAAGATTTGCAAAATTCAATAATCTACTTGTATAAACAGCATTTGGATGAACAGTTGCTGTAATTGTTGAAGGATTAAAGGGTTTTTTATCTGCTTCCTCAAATATTTTTTTTA